TGCTTGCTCTGATTCTTTCTTAGCTCAAAGCTGATTCTGGGTGACAATATATAGGGATAATTCTAAATGAAAAGGATGCTTTATATAATTTCAAAGCTTTTATGGCTCATGAATATAGAAATTATTTCCATACCATACCAAAGTAACCAAGGAAAAATTACAAGATACTGGAATTTGGAAGGACTTCCTACAGTTGGATCTATTTCCCTAACTTTGCTAGCATTTTCATTCTCTTTTCCTTTGAAGGTAATTATGAGCAGGAGAATAAAGATTCCGAGGAACCATTACAAGTGATCGATCCTGGAGATGCAATGGAAAAGCCAGCGATTCAAATGGAACTAAAATGCCATGCGAGAAACCAGTCAAATAATTGGAATCGGGAAAGCTCATCTTCCATTGATGCTCCAATGCAAGACTTTGTTGCCCAACAAGCAAAATTAAAGGAAAAAAATATTGGGAAAAGTGTAAAACTCTTCAAAAACAAATTAGATTTTAACAAACATTATTTCACCCTACCCAAGAAGCCATTTAAATGCAGGGACTGTGGAAAGACCTTTGCTCGGAGCAACATTCTTACTTCCCATAAAAGGACCCACATGGGGGAGAAACCACATAAATGCATAGAATGTGGAAAGACCTTTCTTCATAGCAGTAGTCTTATTTCCCATAAGAAGGTCCACACAGGGGCGAAACCATATAAGTGCATGGAGTGTGGAAAGACCTTTAGTCGGTACCGTCATCTTACTGACCATCAAAGAATCCACACAGGGGAGAAGCCATTTAAATGCATGGAGTGTGGAAAGACCTTTGGTCAGAGCGGCAGTCTTACTTCCCATAAAAGAATCCACACAGGGGAGAAGCCATTTAAATGCATGGAGTGTGGAAAGACCTTTGGTCAAAGCAGCAGTCTTACTTCCCATAAAAGAATCCACACAGGGGAGAAGCCATTTAAATGCATGGAGTGTGGAAAGACCTTTGGTCATAGCAGCAGGCTTTCTTCCCATAAAAGAATCCACACAGGGGAGAAGCCATTTAAATGCATGGAGTGTGGAAAGACCTTTGGTAATAGCAGCAGGCTTATTTCCCATAAAAGAATCCACACAGGGGAGAAGCCATTTAAATGCATGGAGTGTGGAAAGACCTTTGGTCATAGCAGCAGTCTTACTACCCATAAAAGAATCCACACAGGGGAGAAGCCATTTAAATGCATGGAGTGTGGAAAGACCTTTGGTCATAGCAGCCATCTTACTGACCATAAAAGAATCCACACAGGAGAGAAGCCATTTAAATGCATGGAGTGTGGAAAGGCCTTTGGTCATAGCAGCAGGCTTACTTCCCATAAAAGAATCCACACAGGGGAGAAGCCATTTAAATGCATGGAGTGTGGAAAGACCTTTCGTCATAGCAACAGTCTTACTTCCCATAAAAGAATCCACACGGGAGAAGCCATTTAAATGCATGGAGTGTGGAAAGACCTTTGGTGATAACAGCAAGCTTACTTCCCATAAAAGAATCCACACAGGGGAGAAGCCATTTAAATGCACGGAGTGTGGAAAGACTTTTACTCAGGTCGGTAGTCTTACTTCCCATAAAAGGAGCCACACGGGAGAAACCATGTAAATGCAACAGTGTGGAAAGACCTTTGCTCACAGCAACAGTCTTACTTCCCATAAAAGGATCCACACAGGAGAAGCTATTTAAATGCATGGAATGGGGAAAGCTTTACTCGGAGCAGTCACCTTAATTTCCATAGCAAGATCCACACAGTAGAGTAGCCACATAAATGCATGGAGTGTAGAAAGACCTTTAATCTAAGACAGTGATTCTCAACCTGTGGGTCGGGACCCCATTTGGGGTCGATCGACCATTTCACGGGGGTCGCCAAGCAAGGCTGTCCGCCATTTTTTTTGTCCGCCATTTTTCCCCCCTTTTCTGGCGGGTGCCATGGCCCTTGGGCTGGGCCAGCTGGTGGTCAGCCTGCTCCATCTCTGTCGCTTGCCAGCTACGCCTCGGCCGGCGCAGGGGGCGGAACCACACATGCGCGGCGCTCCCGGGCAGGGAAAGTCCTCGACTTACGACCGGTTTAGTCCTCGACTTACGACCGGTTGGGGTCGCGGCATTAAAAAGGTTGAGAACCACTGATCTAAGAGGTCAGCTTACTTCCCATAAGATGTTCGTGCAAGAGAAAAGATAATTTGAGCTAGCTGTGTGATCTGTGGGGGTGGATAATGTTCAATTTTAACTTTCACTAAAAAGGAAAAGGATTTTTTTTCAACTATTGCTAAAATGGAGAAG